GGGGGGGGTCTATAGATATCATTTTATGAAAAATATAGGATGGCTACGGTGGGGGAAACTTGCAGGCATGAGCATTTATCAGTATGCTGGGATCAGTCTCAGACTCTCGGTTCAGACGCCACCACAGAAAAGTTAGTGTTAAAAATCAGTCACTTGAATCTCGACCTATTGCGGAGGAGCGTCGTGTCTTTGCCTTTTGTGTCAAGGCGGTGAGATCCTCTTTGAAATGCTAAGTGACTTTGTTTTCTGAGGATGACATAGGTAGTTCTCAAAGCGTTAATGGCCGGTGTCGTCGACCTCCCCCTGTGCGATGTAGGCATTACTGTGAGCCTGTATACAGGCAACAAATGCTTCACATAAGAGTCATTGCGATTTAAAGAGACCACATGCTCACTGCTTCTCTGTCTTTTCTCCACATGAGCTCCGTGCTGCAGCTAGGTGGCTGTATCAAGTCGAGTTAGGGTCTTATGCCCCCACACAATGGCTGTGTGTCAAAACCCAGCGAGCTGCCTATGTAGACAACATTTATGTGAGGAAATGGCTGCATGCTGCATCTCTAGGTAAAGTCAGTATTCCCCAGCACGCTAACTGGATAAATAACAACTTAAAAAACCTTTAATGTTAATTGTTTTTAAATTATGCCTAATTTATACAGATAAATATTGTTATCTTGATTTACACTCTTTAATGGCTGACACCTGTACATTTTTTTAAGGTATTAGTTTCATATTTTGTACATGCATTATGGAACAGATAGTTAGGTCTACATGTTAAAAGGACATTTGTTTATGTAGTCAGTTCTCTAGAAAAAAAAATGTGTTCATGTATTCATTTGTGTGCAAGTCTTTGTGAGCCATGTGTGTCATGGCAGTACAGTTTGAAACCAGTGTAAGGTGATGACATTTTATCTTAACCCTAAGAGATATAAGGAGGGTGCAACCTTGCAGTCTTAAGCCCAGAGGTTCAGGACTCCAGTAGTATCTCTTTGAGGCCTCCTTTACATCTCGTATTGAGATCTGTTTTGGGTGATCAAATCATAGGTAGGCAGTTGAGACTCGTGGTTTTCACCTGGTTCTAATGTGCATCTCCTTCGTTCACTTGTTGTTTAGATTCGTCAAAGCGGGGGTCTCTTAATGTAGTCACTACATGCATCATTCACTACATCAGTCTGTTAGTGTTATTTTTAGTATTATGCATATATTACTTATTAATATTTTGAATTGGGCTTAATTTTTTCATTTTTAATTTAAGTTGTAATTTTATTTATTTAATCTATTTAGATGTATTTTATTTCAGTTTTACTTTTAGTGATTTTAGTTTTTCAACTTAAACTTATTTTAATTCTGTTAGTTGCCAAATTTGTACGTTTTGTAAGTTTCAGCTTTTCGTCTAATATTTACATTTGATTTTATTTCAGATTTCTTTCAAATCATGAAAACAATTGGAATAGTTTTAGTTAACAATAACAACACTGGTCTGTTACTGTAGGGTCCAAATTAAATCGAGCCGGTATTTTGAAACCTGTATTTAGTGCTATCCCATCTCTAACGCATTGTCTGAAATGGATTTTAATACCACGTATTAGAGCTGCACGATTAATCGTTAAAAGATCGCGATCTCGATTCAGACAACCACACGATCTCATTTCTAAATGACAACGATTCTCCCGTGTCTATTAAACCTTTGACAAAGTCTTACCGGATCATTCAAATCTGCGTTCGCACTGCCGCTGACACACAAGAGAGCAGTTACCATGTTTGGTTATGAAACAGCTTCACAAACAGTCTTTTCAACTACACAGTATTATTTCTGTCATAAAGTCATTCATATTATCACAGAAATACTGGGATGAAAGTTTATAATTCAGATACAAACATTGATGTCTATGGTAGTGGGACAAAAATAGAGCAAATCCGCGTTTGAAAGTAACTGCCACATAACGTTTGTGTCGATTGCATTGTTTCGCCACTAGGTGGCGAAAAGTGACTTAAAAATGTATAATTGAAGGAATCATTTATTCAAAAGAATCATTCAAAAACGCTGATTCATCCAGTAGGTTTATGAGTGAGTCGTTGAATCATTGATTCAAACAACTTTTTCATAATTTCAATATTAAATTGGTGTATTAAATATTATATTTTAAATACATATACACTACCAGTCAAAAGTTTATTGTAATATTTTTACTATTTAAAATAACTTTCTATTTGAATATATTTTAAAATGTAATTTATTCCTGTGATTTCAAAGCAACATTTATCTGAAATAGAAATCTTTTGTAACATTATAAATGTCTTTATCATCACTTTTGATAAATTTAAAGGATCCTTGCTTTAAGGATCCTTTAAGGACCCCCCCCCCAAAATACTGACTCCAAGTTTTTGAATGGTAGAGTGTATTATGTTACAAAAGCTTTTTATTTCAGATGAATGCTGATCTTTCTATTCATCAAAGAATCCTGAAAAAATGTACTCAAGTTTTTAAAATATTGATAATAATAAAATGCTTCTTGAACAGCAAGTCAGCATATTAGAATGATTTCTAAAGGATCATGTGACTCTGAAGACTGGAGTAATGATGCTGAAAATTCAGCTTTGATCACAGAAATAAATTACATTTTAAAATATATTCAAATAGAATATTAAATAGTACAATTATTTCACAGTATTACTGCTTTTGCTGTATTTTGGATCAAATAAATGCAGGCTTGGTGAGCAGAAGAGAATTCTTTAAAAAAACATAAAAAATCTTACTGTTCAAAATCTTTTGACTGGTAGTGTATATTAAAATGTTTAATAATTCATTCAAATTAATTAAACACTTTTAAATAGACTGCAGCAATAATATTTTGCCACCCATTATTTTGTTTAGTTCAGAATCGTGGGAGAATCGTGATCTCTATTTGAGACAAAAAAGAAATTGTGATTCTCAATTTATCCAGAATCGTGCAGCTCTACCACGTATTAACAAGGCATTTGTAGATTTTATAAAAACAAAACGCAACATCAGAAATCTACAGGACCAATCGCTTCATGTTGGCTTATGGACATTTGAGACTTCATGTCTTTCTCTGAAAGTTTAGTTTTCAGCACGTACTCGCCTCTGAACCAAGTTGCAGTTCTTAAAGTTAACAATACTTCCCTTCAAGTGTGTTTAATGCATCTGTGTGCACATTTTATCAGTCCTGAAGTCACATCCAGCAGTCGTGTGAGTATTCTCTAGCTAAAGCAGTGCTTGCGGTATCACATTGTTTTGCAGTGTCTGGGACCAGTGCCCAAGATCTAAATTTAACTCCTGAGTTGGCAGGGTTACACAAGGTTTGTGACGTCACCCACTCCAAGAGCATATTACCACTGTGTAACTTTCTTGTCTTCTGTATGTGTTTGCGAGGAGGCTTACAAGACTGGTAGCGCAGGTATAAATGTGTGATGCGTCTCACTGTGCGTGTCTGCATGTAAGCATTTCAGTGGTCAGAAAAGCTGCAGGGAATGTTTTAAATAGGGATGCACCGATACCGATACTGGTATCGGTATCGGGCCCGATACTGGCCTCCTGTACTCGTACTCGTACTCGTTAAAATGCCCCGATACCAAACGCCGATACCACACAGCATGTGATAAGCGCCATATTTAAACAAAGAAACACTGACAACAGACAGCAGAAAGGAGTTATGGATGTCTACTACGAAGTATATGTATGCAATAAATATAATGTTAAACATTCAGTATTAACGCCTGTATAGCTGATGTGAGCGAGCTGATTAACAAAGCACGCTGAGTGGATTGAGCGCGCGGCGGCGCACATGCGCGAGCTTGTCGAGTGAATATACCTTTCTCACAGACATCACTGGAAAGTTTATAGTTCGGTCGGATATGTCAAAGACAAGTAAGTAAAACAATACCCTTTTGGTTTCTGTACCCAATATTTAAAAAATTTACAAATGTAATAAAAATATAGGTATCGGCATCGGTATCGGCAAGTACCAAAAATAAAAGTATCGGTATCGGGCGAGTACTGGAAAAAGTGGTATCGGTGCATCCCTAGTTTTAAACAAATGAATTATTTGCCTTAAAGGGGTAGTTCACCCAGAAAGGAAAATTCTGTCATCATTTACTCACCTTCAAGTAGTTTCAAACATTTAGTAGTTTCCTTCAACACAAAAGAAGATATTTTGAAGAATGTTGGTAACCAAACAGTTTCTGGTCCCCATTTACTCCCATGGTATGGAAACAAATTACTATAGAAGTCAATGGAGACCAGAAACTGGCAACTATTTGGGAAGGGCAAGATAATGAGTGA